GTCTCATGTAAAACACTATCATGTAGCTTATTACAATTTTGACTACTCGAACTAAGAATAAGTCTAATCGCAGTAACTAGGCATAAAATCTTCTTTAAACACTATTAAGTATATGATAGAATAATACAACATGATTCTTATATGATGTTGGCGTCAATGTCACATTTATGTCAATGTGGTAAATACATCAATAATATATCATATCAACATAAATGATTATATATGTCATCAACCCTTTAGCACCATGTTAATGAACATGACCCAAATAATATCGGGTATTGTATTATTATTAAATAACTTAACTATGTTAAAATTAAAAACAACCTTTAATTACTTTAAATTGATATTAGAGGAGGGATGAAATTAAACTCGTACCCATGGGACTGATCCACCGCGCCCGAGTTTGACGGAAAAAATTGAGTTGACCGGGAGACGAAGGTGGTTTGGGTTTTCTTCACTTTAAAAAGTCGGGCGCGGGGATGAGTAGTGCAATCTCCACCCCGTCTCCGTCCCTGCCCCAACTTTATATTTAAATTTAAATTTTAAAATATTAATATTTTAAAAGTATTTTTTTTTCTTTTTTTATTATATATAAGGTCATTTTTTATATTTCATCATTTTTACTTTTCTTCTACCCACTTTTTAATTTTTTTTGTCTTTTTTAATCTTTTATTTATATCAATTAGTTTATTGCACTCTTTCTCTTACCTTTCAATTTTTCAAATTTCATTAATCTCTCCAATCAATTTGTTTTTTTTTTCAATCTTTTCAACCAATTTGATTAACACAAAGTCAATTTTTTTTCTTCTTTATCTTTTTCTAAATATTGTACATAAATCTTAGTAGTAATTAATATTATTTTATTTATAATTTATATTTATTAGGTTTTATTATGTCATATTTTTTATTTTATTATTCTTATTTGTCATATATCAAATTTTATCTTAACAAAATAATTGTATTTTAAAGGATTAAAAAGAATTGATAATTTAAACTTTTATTACTTTGAACTAATTAAATATTTTCTTATAAATTATATATTTCATATTTTTAAATAACAACTTAAAGATGAATTAACTTATATATGTAATCAAATATTTGAATATAATATTATAATTATAATAATAATAATAATAATATTATTATTATTATTATTATTATTATTATTATAAGTATTCAAATATTTGAATATAATATTCTAATAATAATATTATAAATATTCTATATATATAAATAAAAAATGATTAAATATTTTATTTTTTTAATATAAATATAATAAATTAAAATATATATTTAATTAATAATAATTACCAATTGTAAAATTATAATTATTTATTTATATATAAAAATACATAAAAATAGTAAAATTAATTTATTATAAATATAATTATCTTTTTAAAAATAATATAGATTGGGGGCGGGGTCGAAAGTCGGAAGTGGGGAAACCCGAAACCTAACTGGGACGAGATGAAAACTTAATTTCTAACCACGACGGAGATTGAAACTTAATTTTTAACCTTGACGGGGATCGAGGATAGAGACAGTTAAAAAAGTCGAGGGCAAGAATCGGAGAGACAAATATGTTCCTATAGAGTTAATGATCACACTTACTTTAGAAAAAAAAAACATTTGAATTCATCTAATCATTATGATAAAAATAAAATAAATAAACCTTGAATCACTGTTCTACACTTTTATATCATCAATAAAAATATTATGTTTACATTTTATCTTTCACTTGTAGTTAAATAATAGACTTTTTACCCTCTCTTTTAGTTTGGTTATTATTTTCATTATTATTCGAGTTGGTGTGTTTCTCCAAACTATACGTAGTTAGTATTAAAATTTTGGTCATCTTAAAATACTTGTTAAGTATTTTTTATTTTCTTTTAATTCAAGTTTGTCAATTGACTTTCCTATTGTGGAAATTCCCACCAAATGCAAAACTTGCATGTGATGAAGGATGAAAGTAACAAAAGGCAGCCTTGAATCTTTGATTGCAACAAAAGACAAAGAATGGGTATGGGTGCGTTCATTTTTTAATACTTTTACAATAATCCAGTGACACTTGGTTTAACGGATTTAACTCGTTGATTCATGAAGTTTTTTTTGTTTTTTTTTTCTAAGAAAACTTGGTTTGAATTTTGATATTAAATTTTGTATATATATATTTTAACTACAAATTTGAGCATTATATATTTAATTTGCTAGATTTTAGGTTAAAAGAATAACAATAAAAACATATATTTCTTTTAGTGTGGAAGACTTTATTTATATATATATATATATATATATATATATATATATATATATTGTTATTTATTTACATATCTGCCTATTTATGTGTGGACTTTTTGCAAACTGAATATAAACTTAAAAAAAAAAAAAAAAAAACTCATATTTCACAAACCTGACTTATTTAAAACAGGAGCTTAGCGGTGGATTGAGTCTTAAATGAGCAAACGGGTTTGCTTACCTCATCGTGGAGTATTACTTAATAAATAAATGAAAAATTATTGATGATAAAGTTTGATAGAAAAATACTATTCATATTAAAATATATATAAAAAAAATATACATTCCCAAACCCATGTTCATGAATATTAAAGGACTCTGTTAGTAGATTGAATGATATTTTCATTTCTGGGTATATGTTAGATAGAATGTCATTTTAGATAGAAATATTTAGTAAATGGGTTGATGTTATTAGTCTATAGTATTTATTTGGATCCCTATATTACTTTTTCTTATTTTTATCATTATACTATAATAAAGATGTTGTCTTTATTATCTCATTTTATATTATATTATTCTTTTAATAATTACAATATTATTTGTCATATTTTTTTAATAAAATACTTAATCTTTAAATAAAAAGAGTAATAGTTCAAAATATAAGAGAAAGATTAAGATGATCCGCAATAAAAAGTAGTAAACTTACTCATTAAGAAACGAAGCTAATCTTAAACATGATTATATAATTAATTAAGGGATGACAAAATAAATCATGATATTTTGATTTTTAAAAGTAATTTTAGAGATTAATTTTAAAATTTTATTTTAGAAAAAAATGAAATAACAAAAGATAATGATATTGACCGCGATAAAAGTTAAAAAAAATGAAAATTTATTAATTACATAGTGACAGAAGATTAACGGTATTGTATAATTATTGGTAAGTGCGTTAATATTAACAATAAAAAGATAAATTAAAAAAAAACTTATATCAGTTTTGGATTTTTTTAGTTTAAAAAAAATAAAAATAAAAAACTTAATTTTTTAGATTTTGACAATCAAACAGAACTGATAAATATATTTTTATTTATATTAATTATACCAATACTTTCAGCCATATATACAATACATCATTTGTCTTTATTATCATAAAACTATCAAAAGATAGTTTTTTAAACTTTTATTATGACATTTTATCGTCGTTTCAAATAATTTTTTAATTTATTTTCAAAAATTATTTTAAAAACTGGAAAATAAAACTAAATTAAATAAATTGTATTAAAAAAATTAGTTTAAAAAAACTAAACATTATTTTTAAAAATAGAAACAAACCTGGAATAAGTGAAAATCTTTAAATATATCCAGCAGTTTTTTATTACATAAATGAAGAAGAGTGAACTAGTATATGGCATCTTAGGAAGGTAAAAATAAATTAAAATTGAAATATTTCTTCAATGGAAAATTAATATATTTCTATTCATAAAAGATTTTGAAGTACTGAATTTACGGGATTAAATTACTGTTAATGATGAAATAATGTGTCGAAGTTGGATTTAGGATTTGCCACCCTCCAAGATTTATTTAGCATAAAGCTATTGCAGATATTGTGAGAGTGTCTATATTTTTCTAAAGCTACGTGCTTCATTTATCTTTAGTTCAAGTTTGTGTGTCACAACAAATTCACAATTTCAGCACCAAGTGCAGAAAAAAGAAAAAGAAATATTAATTTGCCTGGCTTTGCAAGTATCTATTTTCAGTTTTCAACTTTAATGGCTTGAAAATATCCTTGCCATGTCAGTTTCGGAAACTTTAACATAAAAGCCAGTTATTATTCTCATATCTTTTGTTTTGTCGTTTTGCCCCCGCAATGAACCTGAAGGCCAAATTAGTAATTGCATACAGATAAAGTGAAAGAACTGATTCTCCAAAGGAAGACGCTGGCTTTTGTATGATCAACAATAATTCTTTGCACCACCTGACACTAATTCTCTCTTTCTTTCCCATATTCAAAACAATAAAAAATAAATAAAAATTATGAGATTGTTTGATGAGTTGAGAAGAACCAAGGAGCAACAAGTTCTTGTCTGATGATTGGTGTAAAATACTTGAAAATTCCCAAGTGGGTGGTTTTGTACATAAATTAATGTCTTCCATAAACACTGAATTTACAAAGGAAGCACTTCAGAATATCATAATTACATGCATGGTATTTGGGTACTGTGTGTTCAGTCAAAACAGAAAACAAAATTAGGATGATAAAGCTATGATTATTGCATCATCATAAGTAACAGTATGAGCTATAAACAACTAAGTAGGTTGCCTTACATTCCACGTTTCTTTCTCTTCAACATACCAGTATTTAGGGGGCTTCTTTTTCTCTCTGCTTTTTTATCCACCAATTAACACCTCCTCCACCCTCAGTTACCACCACATTTCAGATCCATGTTCCATGATTTTCACCACCATCCTTCCCTTTTCTCTCTTACTTTTTGGGGACTTTCCTGAGGTCTCCTTTTTTTTTTTTTTTTTCAAAAACAGCTCTAGGTTATTATTGTCTACATAGATTCTTCTGAATTCAGTTCTTTCTCAACAAAACCAAATAAAAAAGAAGAAAAAAGCATTCCTTTCATTCCCCTACCAAGTTTTTTTTTTTTCCAATGAAAATTAAACTTTGGTGTCTGTTCTTCCTTCAATTCTCGTTAGCTTGATTATGATCAAAATTATTGGTTAAGGAAGCAAAGAGGTTGGTTTTAGAGTAAGTGGGAATGGAAAACGTTTCAGTTCTGTGTAAGGAAGAGGTTCAGATGGATTTGCCTCCAGGGTTTAGGTTTCATCCAACTGATGAAGAGCTTATTAGTCATTATCTTTACAGAAAGGTAACTGAGACTAACTTCTCAGCGAGGGCCATTGGAGAGGTGGACTTAAACAGGTCTGAGCCTTGGGATTTGCCATGTAAGTTCAACACAAAACAAAATATTCAGTCTCACTTTGGTTTTGGTTTCTAAGTATTGCAAATTATTATAAGTCTATGTTGTGTGCATGCTTGTTTGTTATAGGGAAGGCCAAAATGGGAGAGAAAGAATGGTACTTTTTCTGTGTGAGAGACAGGAAATACCCAACTGGTTTGAGGACCAACAGGGCCACCGAAGCGGGATACTGGAAGGCCACAGGGAAAGACAAAGAGATTTTCAGAGGTAAATCTCTTGTGGGGATGAAGAAAACTTTGGTTTTCTACAAAGGAAGGGCACCCAAGGGAGAGAAAACTGATTGGGTCATGCATGAATATAGACTTGAGGGTAAATTCTCTGTCCACAACCTCCCCAAAACTGCAAAGGTAATTAATTTAGAATCATTTTTGGCTTGACCATGTTGCTTTATATGTACCACTTTTTGTGCTATCATGAGAATTTTCTTTTGTTGAGTTTGATTCAGTGCTATTTATTATTGTGTTGCAGAACGAGTGGGTGATTTGCAGGGTGTTTCAGAAGAGTTCAGGTGTGAAGAAGATTCATATTCCTGGGATAATGATGTTGGACTCTTATGGAAACGAATTGGGTTCTTCTGCTTTGCCACCCCTCACTGATTCCTCACCTTCCATTGGCAACACCAAAGCACTAAGTGTGACTGAACCGGCTTACGTGCCCTGCTTCTCCAATCCAATTGATGTCCCAAGAGGGATCTTTGATTCCTTGAGCAACATCAACATCAACAACAACAACCTTTGTGGGGTTTCTTCAAACCATTCATTTTACTCCACTCAAGGGGTTCAACTTCAGGCTCCACCAACTCTGCAATCACCCGACTCTTCAAACCATTACCTTAAATCCTTCCTTCACAACCATGGAAACGGATCACACTTGAGGAATGGTTTTGAACCTGAGAGGGAAATGGTTAGTGTCTCACAGGATACAGGTGTTTCTACTGATGTGAATGCTGAAATCTCTTCAGTTGTGTCAAATCTTGACATGGGTAAAAGGCATTTTGAGAATCATAACAACCCAATTGGTTCAGCTGCACCAGTGGACCTTGCTACCCTGTGGAACTACTGATCTCAGTTAAAGAAAAGAAGCCAACTTTTTCAGCTGAAAAAGAATATCCTCATTTACAATTTATTCTGTGTTTTGATTCTGATATTGTCCTTGTTGTTATTGTATTTGTTGTCTGAATAGATTTAACTAAAAGATGCACTGTACAATAGCGAAGCATATATTTTGTACTGTAAGAAATCTTCTGAACTTATGCTGTTTTGGTGCTTTTGATACTCTTGTAGTTATGGTTTGGTTGGTATGAACATGATTACTGTGTATCAGCTTTGGTTAAAATTAATATATGAGAAATGGTTGGTCTTATTTTTTATATATCTGGATTCTGTGGCCAAATCTTTAGAGAATGACCTTTGTTCTTGTAATATTTGAATTGCATATTTAATTCTTCGTAGTGGGGACTGAATCAAGTACAGTAAACATTAAAAAAAAAATGAAAATCTCTCGATTCTCTTTCTTGGAAACACGTGCACGCGCTTCCTTTGACATGGCCAAAATAATATTAACAAACTTATCTGCATTTACCTTCTGCGAGTGAAGCTCCTTGTGGCAATCAGGGCCCTGAAAGTTTTCCTCTCTCCTCTTTTTCTTTCCTTTCATGTGAATGATAAGACAGAATGTTTAACTCGGTCAAACATTCATTTTTACCCAATCAATTTGCGAACATTCTCTGTTAGAGTCTTAATTATATATTTGAAAACTGTTTCTTGTAGTTTTAAGCAAAAATTTTCTCCTTAGTTAATTCATTGGAAACTAGTGTTTTGTACGATGCATCATTTAAAGTGGAGATTATTTATTAAACTTGAATAACGATGCGTTACATGATAATGTATTTGGTGAAATAGTCTCCTTCTCGTTGTTATTATTATTCTTCTTATTTGCATGAAGAAAAGAGTATTCAGAATAAATATTTGGCTTTTGCTTTTGAAGTCAAGAACCCGAGTTACAAGTCAACAAGAACAAAGAATTAGTGCAAGTACACAGATACATTGAATATGACATGTAACGAAATATTGTAGGACCAGTTGTAAACCATCTTCGACAGAAAATCAAAGATAGATGATGAATAAAGAAACAGAATATGGTCTCAGAGTTATTTCCTTTTATTCTGTTACTCTAAATTCACATATTCTGATATATATTTATGTGTGAGAGAGAATTAAATAATATCCAAGAATATTAATTTTGTTTTCGTTGGTGTTACTAAATAAAGAAATACTGAGGGGTTTTGTCTGTATGTGTGATTATTGATTTAACGTTTAATTTATTCATTCATTCGAAAAAGTACAATCATTCATTTCCCGTTTCATGATGCTTGAATTGCGTTTTGAAGCTGCAATGCCATGACATGAGAACATCAATGTTATCTTTTTTTTTCTTATTTTGTCCAAAAATATAATATACGTGTCTCCTTTTTGTACCATGTGGTGCTTTTATTTATGGCACATGATAAATCCTCGATCTTCAAAAGTAAATCAATTTGAGTCCTACACGGCTTGATCGTTAACTATGTGAAATCACTGCCAATATGTCTTTTACAAAGTGTTGCTCAACTCATTTTCACCATTTTGATCGCAAACAACTACAATGTTCTTTTGTTTCTTTCACGAGCGTACTTGTCTTCTTCTTATGTATCATAAGAATTAGTTAAATTTTAAATAATCCAAATGCAAAACCCAATGAAATTCTTTACAATTCAAACTCAAACTATGAACATAAATTGTAAAGATCATTACGTGCGTCATGGGGTTCAAGGGGAATGAAAACAAAAGTTATGGTAAATTTTGTGGTTATTAACTTAATGGTTTGGTCTATTTCATTACATCATGAACAGTTCGTGTTTCGGTAAGAAGTTGTTGATGAGTCTCATTTCATGAATTTCATTTAAATTACATCGCAGTCTTCATATTTTTCTTCCCATTTAAATGGTGTTCATGTTGGGTTACACTTTTCAGTTTTGGTATCTATGCCTTTGGAATATACAGAACAGTGCACTTAACTTTTACTTATTTTGGGCGAAAGTTTTGATTAATTACATAAAATATTAGGCCTTTATACTCTATTATTACTTTATTATTATTAAGAATTTATTTATAATTTTTTTTGAAAAATAATAAGAATAATTATGTATTCATCCACTCAACATCAAACTTAGTTACAAATATGTTCACACATTATCTTATTTTGTTAGTTTAGGAAATAAATAAATATTTTGTTACTCCTTCCCATGAAATTAGGACCTCACATACTTAAATAAATATTAATAATTTTGTAATTTTTTAAAAAAACTATTTTTATTGATTTAGTATATATTTTATATTATTATTTTTTATATCCAAATATCTATGTAAGAAATACATATTTAATAAATTTTTTCTTCATATAAATTTGTTTGGATTAAAATACTCATAATAATAATAATATTATTATTATTATCATTATTATTATTATTATATACTATAAAATTATATTCAAACCTTGATTATTACATGAAGAAAATAATTATTTGTTAATTTTATCATTTTAAAATATTAATAAATGTAAAATATATGATTTGTAAGAAAATATATATTTATTACAAAAATTATTGAATTAAAAAAATTATTAAAATTTTAATTATCAATCCTTTGGACTATCCATCCTTCAAATTACATAACAGTAATATAATAGAAATGAGTTTTAACTAAATCTTATTTTATGTCTATTTGATCTTAATTATTTAGTTCAATCTTTCATAATAAAAAAAATCCTACAACTACAGCATTATATTTTTCCTAACTATTTATAAAGGAGGTTTATTTTGTAACCGTCTTTTTTATTAGTGAGAAAAAATATAATTTATATTCACGTTATACCTTCTTCTTCTTTTTCACTCCCTTCAATCACACATTTCCCTCTTCTTTTCTTTCGAATATAAAATAACAAATAAAAAAATTAATTTCTTCTTTGTTTTCTCAGTTACTTCTTAAAATTACGTTTAAAATTTATTTATCTCCCCTAATTTATAATTTCAAAAATAAATATTTATATTTTAAAACTTATATATATATATATATAATATAAAATTTTAATAAAGGAGATTATGGAAGGTGAAAGGTGAAAGGTGGAAGAAAAAAAAGCTTAGAATTTTGAGAAAATTATGAGAAAGAAAGAGAAACATGAAAGATAAAATTAATATTTTAGAATTTAAGTTTAGATGTAAAGTGGGGACGAGATGTGAAGAAAATGCACTTTCAACGTCGGTTTTGAGTCAACCGACGTTAAAAGTTGAATTTTAACACATTCAACATCGATTTTTAGTCAACCGACGTTGAAAGTTGAATTTTAGCACATTCAACATCAGTTTTTAGTCAACCGACGATAAAAGTTGAAATAATATCAAATTAAGAAAATTGTCACTGACAAGATTCGAACTCATTACATTAATGGTAGAAACTAATACTCCAATCATTAAGCTACTAAGATTTTATGATAATAATTTATAAATAAATTATATTTATATACAAATAAATGTATATACGTGTAAATATATAAATAAAATATATTTTTATATTTATATATTTTGATATAATTTTATATTTATATAGTTATATATTTACATATTTATATGTTGGATGTGAGAATACGTTCGATGGTGAAAGTGTGTATCGAGTAGGTTTTCAAAATTTGATTTCAAATTTGTGAACGAGTCTCTTTATATGGGTTTGTAATTTAATGATAGAAAATAATCTTTATAATTTATTTATATAATGATATAAAATAATTTTTTTCTTTATTTATTTTTATTTTATTTTATTCTTTTTATCTTTTTTTTCTTCTATTATTTAATTGAAATTATTATATTAAAATAATTTTTTCAAATATTAAAAATAATTAAATATTTATTTTTAAAATTATTTTATTTAATAAATTATTATAAATTAATCTATGTCTGGAAAAAATAATTATTAAAAGATGATTTGATTAATTTATAATAATCTATGTAAGAAAAAATTGTTCTATTAATTAGATTAAATTTGGTATCAAATTTTGAAGATCCACTCGACACCGACTTTCACCCTCGAACGCGCCCTCACATCCAACATATAAATATATAACTATATAAATATATCAAAATATATAAATATATTTGTATTTATATATTTTATATTTATATATTTACACAGATATACATTTATTTGTATATAAATATAATTTATTTCTAAGTTATTATCGGAAAATTCTAGTAGTTTAATAATGGTTGGAGTATCGACCTCCGACTTTAAAGTATTGGCTTCGAATCCTCGCTAGTAACAATTCAAACTTTCTACATCGGTTCTGAACCGATGTGGAAAGCCTTCTAGAATCAACGTGAAATGTGATATTTGTAGTAGTGAAAGTAGGTAAAAATTACATTATCTATTTTGACTCTAATTTCTTAAAGCGAGATAAAATTGAATTTAAATTTAAACTTGAATTTGAATTCGATCAATTAGATTTTTCCTCCTCAATATCAGGATAGAGACAAGTCGATCCCTATATAGTACATGTTTGATTATCATATCCAAAAATAACCTATGTCATATGGTTTGATAATGTAATATTAGTTAAAAAGCACATGACACAAATAACATATGTCTACAAGTTATACTATTTGAATTAAGTTTGTTTAAAAATCTCATATCCTTGATTTAATATAGATTAACTTATTGGTAATGTGTTTGAGTATGAAGTCCTAAGCTTTCTTAATGAATACTTGGTTATAACCTTATCAAACCAAACGAAGAAAAAATGTCATTCATTTATGAAGTAGTTAACTTTAGTTATAAAATTAAGACTTTTGGTTTAAATAATGTAGTTGCTAAGTCTCATGAAAAAGGTATTAAAAATATCATAAGAGAAATTATTAAAATTTGGATATCTAACATGATAATAGAAAAATATAACAAAATATAACAAGTCATGAGTACTTGAAATGAACCTATCTTTGTTAGGTATAAAAACATAATATATGATATTGAATTAAA